TGGTTCAAAAGGGAAGGTCTCCCAGTTTGTCACTCCCTCATACCAGTCACAGTGGCTGGGAAGGCTTTGCTGCCACTTGCACTGGACTCACAGAGGAAAAGATGGGTGAGAGACAACTTCCAACCAGAAAATGGAGCTGATGCCCTTAACTGGTCGTCCCTCTTTTCATTCAGGAACTCTGAAGGCAAAGGAATTCAAAAAACGCTGCATGCAGTTGAAGCTGACACAGACTGATGTCCGTGGGAGTGAGGACTGTCTCTACCTGAACATCTGGGTCCCTCAAGGGAGAAGACAGGGTATGAGGCTAGAAGGGACCTGGGATGGGCTTTCCCACCTGCCTTGTGTGCACAGATTGTGTTGCAGCCTCTCTCAGCAGTTCTGTTCCATAGTGGGCAGGTGCTGAGCAGTGATTTTCAGGGGGAAAGGTGGGAACTGTGTCAGACAATGTCCTAACTCACCTTCACCCTGTTGGGAGGGTCAGCCTCTTGAGCAGAGCAAGGATGTACTTGCAGAGCATCAAGTCAGCTCCTGCCCAGGGCAGGTGGAGCAGTGCTGAGGGAGGGGATGAGGGATGGAGGGGCAGCACCCCCCAGCTCAGTGGGGGCTCACTCTGCTCCTGTTCCTCTCCTCCCAGTCTCTACCAAGCTGCCTGTGATGGTTTATATCTATGGCGGTGCCTTCCTGCTCGGAGGCAGCCAGGGAGCCAATTTCCTGGACAACTACCTGTACGATGGGGAGGAGATCGCCGTGCGGGGCAACGTCATTGTGGTGACCATCAACTACCGCGTGGGGCCGCTGGGCTTCCTGAGCACCGGCGACGAGAACCTGCCAGGTACCAGGGCCGATCCCTCCCTGGGACCCTGCCCCCGGTGCCCACTTTGACAGCTTGGCTGTGCCCCTGCTCACTGCCGGGGGATGTCTGTCCCTCAGGGAACTACGGGCTGAAGGACCAGCACATGGCCATTGCCTGGGTGAAGAGGAACATCAAGGCCTTTGGGGGTGACCCAGACAACATCACCATCTTTGGGGAATCGGCCGGTGCCGCCAGTGTCTCCCTGCAGGTGAGTTATCCTCGTTGGTTCTGATCAGAGCCCCTGCTCTGCCAGTGGGCGAGAGGCACCCCTTGGCACTCATCTGCTTTCCTCCCCACTGCTGCCTCATTAATGTCCTGCCCTGGCCAGCCCAGCAATGCTCAGCCTCAGTGCTTTGTAGCTGCTCCTCTTCTTCAGCTTCATCCATCCCACCAGCGCAGCCACGTGTCCTGTGAAGAAACAGCCTCTACTTTCCATGTCCCTCTCCTCTGCTCCTCTTCTCAACATCTCACTTTTTAGCTTTAACTCCTGACACTGCTGAACACCACAAGACCTTGCAGCTTCCCCAGGACAGGTGCACACCCTGCAAGGCCATCCATCTGGTTTGGCAGGCCGTGGTGTCCTCAGGAGTTTGTTCCCAAACCCCTCTTGTTTCCATTTTGCCCCCCAGACGCTGTCCCCAAAGAACAAGGGCCTGTTCAAGAGAGCCATCAGCCAGAGCGGTGTTGGGCTGTGCAACTGGGCCATCCAGAGGGATCCGCTCGTCTGGGCCAAAAAGGTAACGTGCAAGTCGTGCTTGAAGGACTATAGAAACCAAAAAAGTTTTTCCCTAGAGGAGAGCAGGGCTAGGAAGCAATTGGGCAGGAGCTGTGCCCAACAGCGCTGTGGAACTTTGCTGCTTTGAGATTAAAACCCCAGCTCTGCCTCTGAAACAATAAGCCCTGCCTTTGGGAGCTAACACTAGGGTGTTTCTCTCTCTCTTCTGCCACAGCTTGGAGAAAAGGTGGGCTGCTCCACAGACAACACCACTGTCTTGGCCAACTGCCTGCGCCACTCTAATCCCAAGGACTTGACTCTGTCCTACCACATGCAGTTCACTCACCTGCCCAGTAAGTCCTCCAGCCCATGATGTGGTCCATCAGCCACCCTGGGCTCCCCAAGTTCTTGGCAGGACTCTGGAGCAACTGCCAGGAGTGTTGAGGTGTTGCTTGTGCCCTTCAGAAAAGGGACATTATTGAGAGTCTTGCAGTCACTTTTCTGTGGGCAGATGCACATTGCACCAGATGAACACTGCCCACCATGCAATGGCAGCAGTGGCTGGATTATCCAATGGCCCTGCCTTGGCCTCAGAGCAGCTGTTTGGGCTTCCTGTTCTATGAAAACAGCAAGAGCAATCCCAGAAAACAGCTTGTAAACAAACAAAAAAATCCTACCCCTGCTATTTCTATTTGAGTCGCTGGGTGGAGTGCAGGAACGCTGCTGCTTTTGTGCTCGGGGGATTCCTTTCCCAAGAAGATTCTCCTGCTGCTGCTGGCCACAAACCACAGCGTTTAGCCTTGGTCAGAACAGAGAGTGGCCAAAACACTGCTGTGCAACTGCACACTCTGGGGCTGGCTGTCCTGACAATCAGACAGCATGGCCAGGTGGGATGAGAAGTTCAGTTCTTTCCTATCTTTAGCTGGGTTTTTCAGAAAGGGTTTGAAGGAGGAGAGGATTTGTGGATGTTAGCAGGTGGTATTTGGCTGGCAGACCTCTTGCTCTTCTCCTTCAGCGATCGTCATGAGGTTTACCCTGCATCTGGGTGACCTCCTGCCCATGCTGAAGTCACTGCTCAAGCTGTCATTCACCTCACCTTGCTCTTTCCTGAGCTCGAGTCATGAGATATGCCAGAACACAAATCTGTGTTTCCTCCTTACAGGCCACCTCACAGACCCCACTCTTGTCTCTTGCAGTGCCCGTGGTGCACACCCTTGCCTTCTCCCCAGTTGTGGACGGGGATTTCCTCCCAGACGTGCCAGAGAAGCTCTTTGCCAACGCTGCTGACATCGATTACCTGGCCGGGGTCAACAACATGGACGGGCACATCTTTGCCGGTGTGGACGTACCCGCCATCAACCGCCCGCTGGTGAAGGTCACTGCGTGAGTGACAGAGCCCTTAGAACCCTCAGCAGGAGATGTCTGCTCTTCAGAGTAGCTCCCAAACCCCAAGGAGTCAGACTTGAGTGGACAGGGCACAGCCTTCCACACAGGATGTGACTCCAACCCTGAGTGCCCGGGCCTTTTGTTGCGGAGTCCAAAGCCTTCAAGAGAAAGGACCAGGCAAGAGCCCTGCCCTGCCTGAAGCTGCTGCTCAGTAATTAATTCATATCATTTGTCTTTTCAGTGACCAGGTGTACAATTTGATCAAAGGTCTCACCGTGGACAGGGGTGAGGCTGGAGCCAACGCCACCTACAACATCTACACACAGAGCTGGGGTGACAAACCCGAGCAGGAGGTCGTGAAGAAGACAGTGGTGGACCTGACCACTGACTACATCTTCCTGATTCCCACACAGGTGGCACTGGACCTGCACCTGCAGAATGCCAAGTGAGCAGCTCAGCCCTGGGGGTGTTGCACATGGGGCAGGGTGAGGGTGAGAATTGGAAATGGAAGTTAAAAATGGCCTCAGGATGTTTTCTCCTGAAACCACCCCATGTGAGGTGATGCATGTGAGCATCTTCCAAGGCGTAATCTGTGGCCCTGACGGTGTTTGGTGTGTTGGTTGGGATTTGCAGCCCTTTTTCTGCTTTCTCCTTGCTGAGCCAGTCTCTTTGATTTCCCAGGAGTGGCAAGACCTACAGCTATGTGTTCTCTGAGCCGTCCCGCATGCCCGTCTACCCCCGCTGGGTTGGGGCAGACCATGCTGATGACCTGCAGTACGTGTTTGGGAAGCCCTTTGCCACCCCTCTGGGCTACCGGCCCAAGCACAGGACTCTCTCAAAGGCCATGATTGCTTACTGGACCAACTTTGCCAGGAGTGGGTGAGTGATTTCCATTCCACATTTGGGGCTTGATTCAGCCCTTCAGGCTGCTGGTTTTGTCCAGGAAGTTTTCAGGTTCATTCACAAAATCAGAGTGTTCCGTGTCTGTATTTCTTATTCCTGAATCCTGATGTTGGTACAGACATTAAGTCCCTTTGTGAAGCTGGGATGATACCAGTGGGGATGGAGGGAAGAGACTGCAGGTCATGCACTCATTCCTGGCAGATAGAATTCCTATGGCTTTTCTCACTGTCAGATTCTCTCCTTTCCTCTCACTTAAAGCCTGACTTGAGCAGACAGTGTTCCTGCCAAAAACTTCAAAACTGAGCCTCTCTGTTTTCTTTTTCCCCCAGTGATCCCAACATTGGCCATTCGGACGTGCCCGTTTCCTGGCCAGCCTACACCGACAAGAGCAAGTACTACCTGGATATCAACCACAAGATGAACAGGGACTCTGTGAAGCAGGACCTGAGGTCCCGCTTTGTGACCTTCTGGAACTCGGTCTATCTGAAGCTGCCGCAGGTTGCTGACATCTCCCAGTCGGAGTTAATGTTGTGAAGCTAAGAAAGAAACACCTTTTAGAGATCATTAAAGGATTGCTTGTAGCTGAGTGTCTCTGTTTCTCTGTTTTTTGTGTCTCTGTGTTGGCTGTGACTGAGTTTTCTTGCTAATGTCAAGGTCAGGCAGGATGGAACATCCTGAGGGCAGCGCGTGTTCCCTGGCTGTGACTGTCAGTCCTGGCCAAGCTGTCCTTGCAGCAAATTACATTCTCACCCTCACCTTCATACCCTTCATCTGCCACCTTTTGTGGCTTTAAACATTGCTGAGATGAAAGCTGAAGTTCTTAGGGAGCAAAACCTCATTTCAGTGAGAATTAACACCACACTCCTTGCACGATCAGAGAAATGTAGGTGTACGGGTGAGCATTTGCTCAGCTCAGAATCGTCCAGGCAGCACAGGGACAAAACAACCCACGGGGGAGGTGATTCTGTGTTTGTTTACGGTCACAAGCCGGGCTGAGGAGCCCCAGCAGGACAGGACGAGCCCAGCCCGCCCCCAGGCCTCGCCCTCCCCTCAGGCCCAGCCCGGCCCAGCCGGAACCGCGGTGTGGCGGAACCTTCGTGCCGCGGTGCGCGGGGCGGCGCCGGGAGGGAGCGGCGCGCATCGATGGCGGCGGCGCGGCAGCGGGGCCCGCGGGGCTCGGCCGTGCTGGAGCTGCCCCGCAAGCCGCGCCTGGTCTGCGTGGAGTACCCGGGGCTCGTCCGGGACGTCGGGGCCATGCTGCGGACGCTGGGAGGAGAGCAGGGGGTGTCGCGGGTGAGAGGGGTCGGGGAGTGTGGGGGCTTGCTGGGCTGAGGGTGAGGGGCGCTGCGACCGGCCCTGGGCAAGGGGATGGGGCGGGAGGGGGCCGGGGCCGGGGCCGGGGCCGGGGCTGGGGCCGGGGAGAGCCTCCATGTGGGACCCTCTGTGTGAGCCGTTCCAGCCCAGCGTGTCCCCACGCGGGGCCCGTGGGTGGTTTGGGGGTGATGCCGCTTCCGTGCTGTCCCCGAGCAGGGATTCAGGCGGTGTGCAGTGAAATCATGGAGTCGTAGAAGCGTTTGAAAGGTTCCATAAAGTTCATTCAATTCCACCCTCTTGCTGTGGGCAGGGGCACCATTCCTTTAGACCAGCTTGCTCCAACCTGTCCTTCCAAGGATGGAGCAGCCACAGCTTCTTTGGGCAGCCTGTGCCAGGGTCTACCCACCCTTATAAGGAAGAATTCCTTCCTCATATCCAGGATATTATATTTATAATTTATTTTTCCTGGTATCCAGGATGTGAATGGCTGCACACCCCTGCGATGTGGGGCAGGGATGATTCCCCTGGGGCTGTGTGAGGGGCACAGCTGGTGCCCACAGCAGCGTGTGGGGCTGGGTGCTGGCACAGGAGCACGGGACTGTGGGGGTGACATGCTGACAGGGGCTGTGCCCCCCTTGCTGACAGATCTACGCCGACCCTGCCAAAAGGCTGGAGCTGTATTTCCGCCCCAAGGACCCCTACTGCCACCCCGTGTGTGCCAACCGCTTCCCCACCTCCACCATGCTGCTCAGGGTCACCAGGAGGAGCAGGAAGAAGCAGCAGTTGGACCCCAAGGAGCAAATCCAGCCAGAAGTGCAGTTTGAGATGGAGATTCTTGGGATTGTCACCACTGTTTACAAATTTCAAGGTAAGCCTCGTGATGTGGCTTAGAGATGAGTGTGTTTGATGGGAAAGGGAAGTGTTTCCCCCAAACAGTTGAGGGCTGGAAGGAAAATCAAACCTCCTTGCTGGATAAACCTTTGCATAAACTTGTCAGACTCCTGCTCCTGAAAGTTGAGTGTGAGAATTATTGGTGGAATCACAACAAACTTCACAGTGTTTTAACTTTTGTTACATTCTTACAGGAATGTCTGACTTCCAGTACCTGGCAATGCACTCAGGCCCTGATGGCAAACAAACCTCCATGTATGATAAAGTCCTGATGCTCAAACCAGAGAAGGAAGAGTTTTTCAATAAAGATTTACCTCTTTACATCCCACCACCCATTTTCTCACGTCTGGACACTGCTGTGGACTATTTTTATCGCCCAGATATACAGCACAGGTCAGTGCCTTTTCTCATGATACATCTTTCATGAGTTTCACCCTTTTAATTTGCTGCCTTGTGCTGATTTGGCACAACAGAGGCAAAAAAATCACCAGGAGCTGCCTGGCAGTGGCAACCTCAGCAAAATTCCACTTGAGGATTTGCCAGGTGAGGGGAGCTGGGCATGAGGTGAAGATGATGGCTCTCCCAGCTCACTTCACACATTATGGGATGCAGGACACAGCTCCTGCCTGCTTCCAGAGGGCTGGAGCCAAGGACAGGGTTTCCAAGAATTGATGCCATGTGTTCTGTGCTCTCCTGGCCTCCAATGGCTCTGCCAGAAGAACAGTCTGGGAGATCTCCCACAAGAAACGTCTTTCATTTTCTCACTGTTGGCCTTCACGGGTTCTTTTTAAAGGGAAAGAAGTTTCCAGATTGAGTTGATGCCTGCAGTTCCCTCTTGCTTTGCCCCTGTCCCAGTGAGTAGCTGCAGTAGCTCCAGGAGAACAAATGCAGAGGGTGAAGCCTTTCCAACACGGATTTCACACAGATCATTCCTGAGTGCTGGAGGGTTTCCTGCCAGCCAGGACAGACCTCCTCTGCCAGTGTGCAAATGGATGTAGTTTAGAAGTTTTGGGATTTATTTAAATTTTAGATTTCTTTCTTCAGTGGTGCCATGAGAATCTTTTATAGTACCAGTGTGTGTGATCAAGGGAAGTTGAGCCAAAGTTAACCCAACCCATTGCTCACCCAGCTGAGTCCCTTTTGTCTTTCTCTGTTCCTTAGGGAGGGCTACAACAATCCCCAAGTGTCTGGTGAGAACCTGATTGGCCTCAGCAGGGCCCGGCGCCCACACAACGCCATCTTTGTCAACTTTGATGATGAGGAAATCCCAACTAAGCCCCTGGATGCTGCTGTACAGAACTGGAAGAAAGTGTGCACCAATCCTGTGGATAAAAAGGTGGAGGAAGAGCTGAGAAAGGTGTGTGCCTTACTCCTGGTCTCAGCACTGTCCTGGGGAGGAAAAAGTAGATTTTTCTCCCTAGAAATTCTTGGTGATTGTGAGTGACTGACACAAGTGTGAGTATATGCTGCTGACACTGCTGTGTTCATTTCAGTTCTGCAAGTCAAGCTTTGAATGTGTGTCTTAACTCTCATTAAGCCCTACAAGTTCTCCCATCACCATCCAACAGCTCCTATGGGGGGCCAAAGGCTCTGATATGGACCTGAGTGCACTTGGAAAGCTGCTCTGCCTCTGGGAACCTCTTCCTACTGATGTGTGGCTGTCTGTGTGTCCTTCCTGCTCTTTGGGAACCCTTCCCACTGATGTGTGCCTGTCTGTGTGTCCTTCAGCTCTTTGGGAACCCTTCCCACTGATGTGTGCCTGTCTGTGTGTCCTTCAGCTCTTTGGGAACCCTTCCCACTGATGTGTGCCTGTCTGTGTGTCCTTCAGCTCTTTGGGAACCCTTCCCACTGATGTGTGCCTGTCTGTGTGTCCTTCAGCTCTTTGGGAACCCCTTCCCACTGATGTGTGCCTGTCTGTGTGTCCTTCCTGCTCTTTGGGAACCCTTCCTACTGATGTGTGGCTGTCTGTGTGTCCTTCAGCTCTTTGGGAGCCCTTCCCACTGATGTGTGCCTGTCTATGTGTCCTTGCAGCTCTTTGGGATTCCCTTCCCACTGATGTGTGGCTGTCTGTGTGTCCTTCAGCTCTTTGGGAACCCTTCCCACTGATGTGTGCCTGTCTGTGTGTCCTTGCAGCTCTTTGAGGTGCGTCCCGTGTGGTCTCGCAATGCAGTCAAAGCCAACATCAGTGTCCATCCAGACAAGCTGAAGGTGCTGCTGCCTTATTTGGCCTATTACATGGTGAGTGGTACTTCTGTGAGCATCACCCTGCTCTTCCTGGTCCTTTACCACTTCTGAGGTCCTGCCACTACGTGCCTGAGCTTAATTTAATGTAAAGAGACAGAGGGAAGGAAATGCTTTAGAACCAAAGTTGAAGCCAAGGAGGATTCAGTGGCTGTTTGCTCTGCAGGTTCTAATCACCTCTGCAGGTCAGGACCCCCATCCCCCAAACAATTCTCTCAATGAGACATTTGAAAGGAATTACAATTGTTTGTTTACTCTGAGTTGGGCTCACTGGAGAAATACCAACAAGAGATTCTCAGGAGCTCAAAATAACAAAGCAGTCATTACTGGGAACTTCGGAAAATCAGAAAAACTTTGGTCACTCCAAGTCACTGTTCACCTGGCAGTGGTAGCAGTTTTTCCACACAAGCACTTGGCTGTGACCTTGCAGGTTGGTTTGTAAAAGCACACAAATATTTGTGCTTTGATTGCCAAGTGTATAAATATATTTCAGTGTATAAATATTAGCATGGCAAGTGAGCAAAGAGCTGGAAAAAACAAATATCTTTGGGCAATGAGGGAAAATATTAGAACTTCCCAAGGACCTTGCTACCGAAGGAAGTTGCAACACTGTGATGCTTTTTTGTAACCATGTTCCCTCATGTGTTTGTGCAGTTAACAGGTCCTTGGAGAAGCTTGTGGGTTAGGTTTGGGTATGACCCCAGGAAACACCCTGAAGCAAAGATTTATCAAGTGCTGGACTTCCGAATTCGCTGTGGAATGAAATATGGTAAAAGGGCCCAACCCACAGAGCTGCTCTCTCTGCTTTCTGGTTAATCCTGGTAGTATTTTTCTTTTTATGTGTTTTTCAAACTCTTTTGCCATATTTCTGCTCTGATGAACATGTCACCTTTTGAGCTCCTTACTTACTGTAGTTCTTTTTAAAATTCCTGTAATACTTTCTTTTATAGGCAATCGCTCTTTCCTCATTTGGCACATTCTAAACTCTGCCTTTCCTCCTCCATATGTTCCAAGCCCAAGTGGGTGTAGCAGAGCATCCTCCTCCTCACTCAGGGGAGGCACCAAGCAGGAATTCTGGTGCTCACATAGCAGCTTTTCCTCAAGGACGTCAGCATTTCCTGCAGGATGCTGGTCTCAGACCTTGGATGTGGGGTTCCCTGTTTTGATTTTGCAAAGGACAAGTTGAGGAAAAGGAGTTTCTGATGCCATCTACTAAGTCCATGACAGAGCTGGCATCGACTCACTGACATCAGATCACATTTGCAAGTTAAAGGATTTTGTTGATCTCTTCTCCCCACCCTGCTAAAACCAGCATATCCCCAAGACCATCCTGTCCTTCCCACACCAGTCCAGCCCTTGTGTTCCTGAGCTGGGAATATTCTGCAGAGTGCTTGCCCTCAGTTCATGACTGGATTTTGGTTTTCACCCCTAGGTTATGCTGCTACTGACATGCCTGTGAAAGCAAAACGCAGCACGTACAACTACAGCCTGCCCATCACTGTCAAGAAACAAGGTATGGGCCAGAAGGGCTGCCTGGCTCTTCTTCTCTCTTTGCCCCATCCCAGTCACAGGTGGTGAAGGGTCTGAGCCAAAACTGAGCTTGTTTAGTGGTAGTTATATTGCTGCTGTTAAGCCAGAGAAAAATCTGCTGGGAAGTGTTGTGGGAGTCTGGCTGAGCCACAATATCTGTTAGCAGGCAGGAGGGGGTTCTGCAAGTCACACTGGGAATTCAGAATTCACTAAGGTGCAGAGAATGAGGAAAGTTTTCTATGTCGAAAGAGAGTAGAAAAGGTTAAAATTGTGAACAAATAGCCTCTGGAAAAGCTGCCCAAGTCAGCACTTTTTCTGGGGCTGTCCAGTAACACCTCTAAAGAATGAACAAAGCACATGCTCTGTTGCTGGTTGGTCTGGTTTTGTTGAATCAACAGAGAGAGGTGACAGTCCAATATGAAAGATGTCCCTCATTAGGACTCTTGTTTTCCTTTCAGGAAGTCACACAGTCAGTGTCCACGACCTGAAACAGGGGCTGGGTTCAGCTGGTACATCTGGGGCAAAAAAGCCCCCCTCCAGCAGGTATAAGCTGAAGGTAAGCATGACTTCCTATGCCAAAATCTTGAAATATCTCAGTGAAATGGGGATGATTCCTGGCTTTTCAGTCATCAGGGGATCAGCTGTGAGTGATTTGGTGTGCTCAGGTTTGCCTGGGAAGCTCCCAGTTGGATATGGCACTATGGAAAACCACCTGAGTGTATTTTGTTACATGCTGCAAGGTAGGGTTGGTGCTCATCTTAGATGTGAGGAGTATTTTGCTTCAGTTGATAAAACTGGAACTTCATGGGCAATGAAGTGCAAAAATATCACCATGTCTTTATGAGGTCATGCTACAAAATCCAACAGGGTGGAATAAATAAATAAATGAGTCTCACTATTCCTTTTTTTGCTAGAGTGAAGCCCATGATGCACTGCTGGGCAGTGACAGGCTGCAGACAGAGCTGCAGGCTGGAGAGGTGAAGTGTATTCTCTGCCCAGCAGTGCTGGTGTGACTGTGGCTGCAGGGACATTTTGGGGCATTCCTCATTCAGCTGTTATCTTCTGCCACATACAGATCTATGCCTTAAAACTTGTTTCTCTTGGAAGTACCATGTTCTTGAATCAGCCCATTGGAAGAACTTTTATTACACCATAAAATGCACATGGATCCTTTCCTTCTTTCCTCCTCTTAGGAATCTGTCTACATTTTCCGGGAAGGAGCCTTACCCCCTTACCGCCAGATGTTCTACCAGCTCTGTGACTTAAATGTGGAAAGGTACTGCACCCTCACAGCTGAATCAGACAGATTTCAGAGCCTGTTGTTTATACCCTGTCCATTCACCCCTCTCAGAGGTGTTCAGTTGCTCAATAAAAACAGAAAAGTTTTTTCACACTTGAACTTCCTTTCCCATCTGACAATTACCTGGATAACCAGCTGTGCTATTTCAGCTCAGTGAAGGGAAATGGAAGTGAAGCAGTGTGTCTCATTTGAAACTCACACCTGAGTGCAGAAGATTAAGATTTCTTTCCCTTTTGCTCTCTTCAGCCTGCAGAAGATCATCCATCGGAATGACGGCACCGAGTCGGAGTGCACGGAGCGGGACGGGTGGTGCCTTGCCAAGACCAGTGATGACCTCAGGGACAGCATGTCCCTGATGATAAAGCAGATCATCAGATCCACCAGACCTGGTAAGGATGCTTTGAACATGAGGATGTTGTACTTGGCACTGAGGCAGAGGTGTCCCTGCATCCTCTGTGTGTTCTTTGGGATGTAGCTCATTCCAGTGTGGGAGCTGAGGCTGCTGGCCTGCAGTGGGAATGTGGGCTGGCATTAGGGATGGCTGGGAGTTAAGATTTTCTATTTCATTTTCCCAGTATCAAAAGCCCTTCAGCTTTTAAATGTCTTTTGCACAGTGATAGTCAAAATCTTCATTCTGTTGGTAGCATTTTACTTTTTATTGATATTATTGATTGACCAAGAAGTAAGAAAATTATTTCTTGATGATGCTGGGCCAAAGCAATAATATCCCAGTGAATTGGGTCAGAATGAGGCAGGAGAGGAGGCACAGCACTGCAGCTCTGCTGCTGTTCTGCTCTTCTTCCTGGAGTGTGGAGTTGGATTGCTCTGGGCTTGATCAAATTCTGTTAAGATGAGCAATATTAGCTGTGCCCCTGAGGCTGCTGTGAACTCAATTGCAAATGCCCCCAGGCTGCACTGAGAGAGGCATCACAGTGTCTTTCTTTCTTCCCAATTTAAGCTCTTTTTTCAAATACAACAAGCAGTGAAGATGGCAAAGAGCAGCTGGCATACGAGTCTGGAGAGGATGAGGATGATGAAGAGGAGGAGGAAGAGGAATTCAAGCCTTCTGATGGGAGTGAAAATGAAATGGAGACAGAAATTCTGGACTATGTGTGAACTCAGTGAGCAGTGTGGCTGCTGTGCACAGAACTGTCTGCTCTTGCTCCTTGAGAGCCAAGGGTTCAGGGAAAGCAGAGCTTGTACTAAGCTGATGATGTTCTCTGCACTGACTGCTGGTGGGCAACATTCTGGGTGTTTGGGAGCCACTGCTGCATTTTCAGAATTGCTGGCTGAGAAACCCTCCAGCAAGCTCAACAAACTCCCAAGAGTGAGCCCAGAATCCAAACCAGCTGGAAACACACCTGGACATGGGAGAAGCTGCATTCCCAAATCTCTCCATGTGTGGGAGTGCACTCTCTCCAGGTTGGTGGCCATGTGGAACATAGAAAAGGTGCCTGAGGAGATGCTGGGAGAAGAAACAATCCAGTGCTCCTGGAGTCCCTAAGGCAGGTTCTGCCCTTCTGCTTGTCCAGAGGGAGTGAAAATACTGAGCCATGCCTTCAGCACTGAACCTTGCTGGTCATCTTGGAAATAAAGCCAGCAGGAAAATACACTTTCTGGCAGTGAATAATTCCCTTCCTGGGGCGCAGTGTTTGTTGTGCTCATTACCTGATGCACTTCTCAGGTCTGTTTTGACTTCCCCAGCTAGCAGGTAACAAGCACTGAAGGCAGAGGGGCAGAGCTGCCGGTGCACAGAAGTTGGCCACTGCCAGCTGCACTGCTCCCACCACAAAAAACGCCCCAAAAATTAAAGAGCTACTGGTATTTTCTAGTTCTTGTGCATTCCCCAGTGTGTTCTGAGCACACCTGAAAGCCAAGCTCTTTTGAAAAACAAGTTGTTTTGAAAAACAAGTTAAGACCTCCTCTTCTCCTCCACTGAGGAGGCCCTGTTACAGTTGCTTTCAAAGCCATTACTTGTAACAAAAGTGATAAAACCCAACAAATTATAATTGGAAGTGCAACAGTTTCAAATCACAAGTTCAAAGGAAAAAGGTTCATTTCAAAATTGAGCCCTGGTCCCTCAACCAAAACGCCAATTTGTCAAAATAAAGTTCAACCCTCAGCGTGAACATCAAGTATGAACTCCCCTACAGCCAGGCCCATCCCTCTTTCCCCAGGAAGATGCTGGCATTTTGGGCAAGGAGAACAGGACAAGCCCTGCCTTGGGGCAGAGACCTTTGAGCATCAGTTATTTTATTGCAAAGACTAATTACATTGCTGTGTACAAGTCACACCGGGCAGTGTGCTCCTTCATTGAAGTGGTACAAAATACACAGGGTACAGCCAGTCCCCCCGCTGGGAGGGGAGGGGACAGTGCCAGCGTGGGCAGGCACGCAGCAGAGGGGTGGTGCTGGTGCCCAGGGGAAGGGGCTTTGGGCAGGGGGGAGGCAGGCAGGAGGCTGCCCGTGCGTCAGGGAGCCAGGAGCTCCCATCATGTGCATCATGGGCAGCGCTGCCCGAGGCGCCGCAGGGCTGCAGGAGCTCCGTGCCAGCCACGCTCACACCCAAGCAGCCTCTTCCTCACCAGCCCCAGCCCCTGGAGGGTGCTCCCTGTCCTGGAGCAGGGGAAGGCACCACAACCACCCGGGAACGCTGACGGATGGGGACTGAAAAGATCTGCTGGAATGACGAGCTTAAAAAACAGAGATGGAGGCAGGAGCAACAAAAGGTCCCCCTTTGGTTAGTGTTTCCTACAATGGTTAAAACAAGCATCTCTGCCCCTGCTCGAGCAATTAGTGGTAGAGAATTTGGGAGGAGGGGCTGGCAGGGTGTGTACCCTATGAGCACAGCAATGCTGCTGCTGCCAGCATCCCTCCCAGCAGCCTTAAATACCGGGGGGGCACAGGACAGGGACTGGGCTGTAGGGCAGGGGAAGGCTGGATTAGTAAAATGTACAAGTTTACCTCTTCTATTTACAACCAATAAATACTGGAAAAAAAAAATCAGTAAACTTTTTTGTTTTATACAAAAAAAAAGTCTCATTGCTGCTTCTCCCATGGTCAGTGTTTGAAAAAGTCCGGTTAAAGCCCAAGGTGAGTGGCACTTTTCTGTGGGTCAGGCAGTGGCAGCTGGGGCACCTGGAGCACCTTGAGCTCTCTGGCCCCTCTGTGCCCACACAGACCCAAAGTCTCTATTTACACAGTTTCACACAGAACTTTGCTCTCCTCCTCCTCAGGCTGGCAGCGCCGGGGGCATGGCCTGAAGCTCCCCCTTGGCAGAAGAGACACTGGCATTTGATCTTTGGTGCAAGTTTGAACTGGCCCAGTCCAGCTGCAGAATGTGCTGGATCGGGAGAGGAGCGAGACCACGCAGGCTTCCAGCTGGGGAGAGCACGAGGCACCCACTCCATCATGGCACAGCCACGGGCTCCTCCACGGGGCTCAGCACTGGTGCAGGGCTGCATCCTTCCAGCTCACTCCCAGCCCAGGGCATCCGTGGCTTCTCCCAAGGGAAGGACAAGGACAGGCAGAGCTGCGCGGTGGTGACAACGCCAGTGATCCCAGGGAGGACAGACATGGAGGTAACACTGGGAAAGCTGGGAAGGAGGCTTGGCAGCCCCTTCCAGGGTGATGGTGGCTCCTGCTCTGCTGTGTCACACAGCCCCTCTGCAAGTCACTGCTCCTCGGCTCGCTCAGACACAAGGCACCTACGGCAGAGGCGGGCTCCAGCTCTGGGCTGGCCGGGCTGGCCGAGTGTCGCACCGTGGAAGGTTAAAAAAACAAAACAAAACAAAAAAATAGACAAATCCCCCCCCCACTGCTGCCTTCCTGTGTAGAAAAAAAGACCTGATTGGAACGGGGGCTTGTGCAGAGAGGGGCAGAGGCCGACACCAGTTGCCCAACTCTCAGCTCTGGGTGCGGAAGGAGGTGCACGGCCGTCGCCCGTGGGTGAGGGTCACTCCTCTGCCCTGCAGGGTGGCACAAGGAGTGGCCACAGCCAAGCCCGGAGCAGCTGCCCCCAAGGCCCCGTCGGTGATGGGTGGCAGTGGGGCTGAGGCTAGAAGATGCCCTTGGCGATCTTCAGGCCTTTCTGCTTCATCCTGGGCAGGGTGGAGCTGGAGCCGTGCTTGATCTTCACCCCCTTGGAGAAGCCCCGCTTCTTGAGCACAAAGTCATAGTTGGCAGCGGAGTTCATGGCGTAGAAGACGTTGGCGTTGTCGGGGATCTTCAGCTCTGGAAGTGAACAAGGATGAGCGTCAGTCAGGTGCCCTTTCCTTGAAAAGGGACCAGAGCGGGGCTAAGGTTTGTCCCCAGGTGTTGGATGCCTCTTGCTGTCACCTCTCATCCCAGCTCCAGCCCGGTGCTGCCCAGGAAAGCCCCCACAGCCCAGCACACACACACACCTCTCTCCTCCGAGATGATCTGGACAAGCTCATAGTCTTCAGGCCGGTCCCCATCCAGGTTGTGTTTGGCCATGGCCTTGCGAATAACCACGGGGGTCTTGTCCTGGCTCGTCACCTGTGAGCACAGAGTGCTGTGAGCTCAGAACACTGCTAAAGCCTCCCAAAATGCGCCATGCCCACATCCAAGCAGCACAAGCCACCCACCCCTCGCTGGGGATGTCACTAACCAGGATGCTCTTGTACATGTTGCCGTTGTCCACAGCCAGGCTGACCCGGATGATGCAACAGTCGTCGACCTGCTGGTTGTAGAGGGGCAGCGAGAGTGAGGAGTAGCTGGAGATGCCGGAGACCGAGCGCTTGTGAGTGCGGGAGGCCGTCACCGGCGTGGAGGAGACGGAGGAGGAGGAGGCACTGCTGGAGCCTGAGCCGATGCCTGACGTGTCCAGGGAAGAGAGGGAGGTGGATTCCCAGAACTGGAGGGCAGGGAGGAGAGGGGATGCGGAGGACACAGTGGGTTTAGCTTCTCCATCGGCCACAGACGGGGCGTACCAGCGCTGGGGGAGGGAGGCCAGAGGGATCTCACTGACCTGTGACAACGGGGGACCGACACAGCTACAGCCACCGGAGGCACCAGAGCCTTGCCGTGCTGCCGGAGCAGCCCCCGGGCCCCCCGCCTGCTCCCCCAGCCCCAGCGCCAGGGCAGAGGTGGGACAGTCCCCACAGCATGGTCACAGGGCCCTGGGACCCCTGGACCCTGCGAGCTGCCACGTACCTTCTTCTCCTGGCAGTCGGGGGACTCGGGGATGAAGCTGATGTTGATCTCCTCCACGTCAGAGCTGCTGGAGCCGGCAGAGGTGACACTCACTGAGTCAGTGGCGTCCCCACTGCACAGGTACTGCCCACACTTGAGCTGGTCGAAGGATTTCGAGTGGGAGCTGCCGCTGGCACAGGGCTCCGTGCTTGGTGGCTGCCGGCTGCCAGGAGAGAGGTGGGGCAGGTGAGAAGGGAGCAGGTGAGGCTGCATTTGGCTGGCAGGACAGTGGCCATGCCCAGCTGGTTCCCTGCAATGTCCAGCCAGAGATGCCCCACGCTGGCCCCCACCTCCCACCAGGGACTCACTCGCTCCATCTCTTGATGATGCCCGTGTTCTTCTTGGCCTTCAGCGTGTTGCTGGCTGACTCTGACAGCGGCTCAATCTCACACGACAGCCCATAGCTGGGAGGGGAGAGAGGAGGGTTTGAGATCCCTGTGCTGCCACCAGGTGTGAGGGAGGCAGAGCAGAGAGGGGAGCAGGGGGCAGCTGCTGCTGTCAGGAAATGAGCGGGGGGACCTCCCTCTCACTCACCTCTCGGCCTCGCTGAGCCTCTCCAGGCTGTGGAACCACTCCACAAACTGGTCCTCCTGTGTGAAGCTGTAGTTGTTGCAGGCTGACTGGAGCAGCTTGATCTGTGCAATCACTTCGAACTCCTGCAGCAAAGGGAAGCCATGAGACCAGAATGCCCTCCCACAAAAGTGAAGGACACAAAGGAAAAAAGGAGAGGGATCAAGTCCTAAGTGACTGGCACAGCCTGGGATTGCACCAGGCCAGCCCTGCTGTGCAGCTGCCAGGGCAAAGCTCTCACCTTCCTTCTCTTCTCAAAGTTGATCAGCCCACCCTGGAAAAGAAAGAGATGAAGGTCAGGATGGAGCAGGCAGAAGAATATTGCTCCCTCCTCTATATTGCTGCCACTGCAGTGTGATTAACCCTGCTGAGAAAAAGTAGCCCATTTCCTTGGGAGAGAGGTGGATGGGCAGTGTTGGATATGGGATGTGGGATACAGGATGTGCAGTGTGGGACACAGGATGCAGTGTGGGATACAGGATGTAGTGTGGGACACAGGACACAGCCTTCCTTTTATCAGCCCAGGCTCTGGGAGGAAGGGGAGGACAGGCAGGAGGTACATACATCCAGGAAATCCTTCATGGCCGTGTCCAGCATCACCAGGTCCGTCAGGAAGGTGCCAAGGTAGGGAATGGTGCCCTGCATCACACCCTGTGGGGACAGAAGGGACAGAGGGGTCAGCAGAGCTGGGATCAGCCTGGGCAGCTGCTGGGCAGGGGCACAAGGACAGCCCTGCCAGACTCACCATCTCTCGCTGCTGCTGCTGCCGCTTCTGAGCCCTCTTTGGGTTGATCTCCAAGGTGGCAAACTTGGATGTGCCCTCCTGGATGGTGGGGAGAGGTGGGATCAGCACAGTGGGAAATGGCACTAATACCTGTTAGCTAATTTTCATTTATATGACTTCAATTGTAGGAAAGAGGAGGGAATCAAAGCTTTTTCATGGCTCACAGAGAGGAGAGCCTTGGTGGACAGGAACTGCTGCTCTCATTTCTGTATAAATACCTCCCTAATAAGATGTTTTGTTCCCTTTTGCACTTTGTTTCTTCTCAGTCCCTAAACCAGAGCTAGGCTGGGATCTGTGGAGAAGTTCCACATGGAATAAGGACAT